TCTCTGCCGGACTCGGGATGGACTGAGCTGAACGTGCCGAGCCCCAAGGTCTCCCACCCTCCTCCTCCTCCTCCTCCATGCAAGCCTCCAGGGATGCCTGCTGCTGCTGCTGGTAAGAGAAAAATCCTGATTCCCATTCCCTGCTTTGTGCTCCTTGCCCCAGCTGGTGGGGCCTTGGGGCCCTGAGCAGCACAAAGCAAGCTCAGCAATCCCAGGGGTGTTCACATTCCCCCCACCCAGGTTTGGCTGGATTTTGCTGTGTTCTGCTGCCGAGGTCAGAAATTCCCAAGGATGCCCAATATTCCATCCTTTCTGTCCATCCCCAGTGCTTTGCTGCTCATTTGCATCCTGAATTGCGAGTTTGGCTCTGAGCTAGGAGCTGGGTAATAGATGTGACCTTCTGAGTCATTAACATTTCAAAGTCACAGCAAAGTGTGGCTGGTGAATCAGAGTCCTTCAGTTCCTAGGAAATGTCTGATCTGCCACTGGAAACTCTTCCCAGATAACAACATTTAGCAATCTTATTGGCTTGTTATAAAGCTTTTCAATATAACCTTTAAAATGCTCTTCAAAAGGTAAATAATTCATTGGCAACACCAATCTATGAAAAAAAAATAATAATTTCTAGAACAGCCTGAGAAACAAACTCTGCTTGTTGAGAGCTCAGTGTTTTGATTATTCAGTGCTAGGTGAAACACTGAGAAGTGCCAGAAATCCCAGCACAGAACAACAGCCCCATCTCCATTCCAAAGGCTCCATTTGCTGCTCCCTCCCGCTGCAGGGCTGGGAAACAAAATCACGCAACAAGAAACCACAGCTTGTGGGGCTGGTTCCCCTGCCAGGATTGCTGCTCTCTGCCGTCCCAGGGTTGGGGAAATGAACCCACAAACACCAGAGGTTTGTGTCCAAAAAGGAGACAGCCGATAAATTGGCTTTATTCCAATAAAGGGAGAGGCCACGGGGCATCCCCTGGGATCTCTCAATTTTTGGAGGGTGCAGCCTCCTTTTTATCCCAATTTCCAGCCACATTTCCCTTCTCTCTTTCCCCATTTCTGAGGTACTTGAGAGCTTCAGACTTCCCAAAACACCTGATACCAGAGATTTCCCTAAGATTTCCCTCNAATTGGGTGAGGGTCTGAAGTGGCAATCATCTAAATTGATTTTTAATTTTTGAAACCAATCAAACAATGACCAGTTGGTAAACAATGTCCAAACCACATTCCGAAGCAGCAAAACACAGGAGAAGCAAATGAGATAAAATTGTTTTGCTTTTTCTCTGAGGCTTCTCAGCTTCCCAGGAGAAGAATCCTGGGCAAAGGGGATTTTTCCCAAAATGTGATGGTGGCAAAGCCTGGCCCCAGCCATGCCTCTGCCCCGCCCATCTGCATTAATTAAAGGCAGCAATAATCTGTGGGGCAGGCAGCCAGGGCAGAGCCACTGCAATGCAGATCAGCTCCTGACTCCCTGCTTGTTCTACAAGTATCAAATCTCCTTTGATCAATACCTGAATAATCCTTTCAACATCCCTGAGCTGTGCTTGCTGCTCCCAGCGCAGAGAGAGCAGGAGATGGGATTGGCCAGGCCGCTTTAAATCATAACACAAATGTCATGTTGTTCTTTTAAATCTGCCCCAAAAACCTGGCTGCCCTCTGCCCAGGCTGATGGCAAAGATGAAAAGATGGAATTGTTTGGGATTAAATCTGAAACGCTTTCCAGGACACAGCCAGGGAAGGAGATGTAACTGATAACATCGTAATCCTTTTTTCAATCTAGCTACTTAAGAGAAATATCTGCTTGTTCACTGGAAATGGCACAGCCCACAGGGTGAAATACATTTCCCAGGGACATGGCAATGGAGCTCAGATCTGACAGGGAGATCTGGTGACAAGGAAACAGATTTCCTGTCGGAAGTGTCCCCATTTGTCATGGCTTAACCCCTGTGGCACCACACACCCCACAGTCACCAGGTCACCTGTGAGCAGATAAAAAAACCATGGTTGAGATAAGAACAGTTCAATACATGAAATAATGGAATGAAATTACCATACTTTCATTATCAGAGAGATAATTTCATTATCAGAGAGGTAAATAAATAAACCCCAATTAAAACNCTCTGTGGCACACAGGAAAACTGAGCAGGAATTCATTAAAGGAATTACTGAGCAGAGCCAAGGAACAAGCAGGAAGATGTGGAAATTTCCCACAAGTGATGATGACCATGGGGATCAGAGCCCGTTCCCCAGGCTGACCTGACCCTCCCACCCTTCCCCAGCAGCTCAGACAATCGTGGTACTTTCAGCATCGTGTTGTGACTTTTCCAGACTCTGAACTTAGCTCTGATCCCCCTCAGAAGCGCTACATGGGTGTGAGAGTGAAGATGCCAGTGCGGGAGCTGCTGAGGAAAATCCGACTTTCCAAAGGCTTGGACCCAGCTCCAGGCAAGGTGAGGAATCCCCGGGGCTGGGAAGGTTCCTGCAGCATCCTGGGCACACTGGGTGTTCTGCAGGGCCACACCTGCAGCTGCTGCCTCCTGCAGCCATCAGTGCTTTTAAAAGTGGGGAATAAACCAAATTTCAGACAGGATGAGGGCTGGGTAGGGGCAGTTCCAAGGCAGTGGCAGCAGAACCCATCCATGCCATGGGTGCTGAGCCTCATTCAATCAAGGCAAAGATGGCCCAATAAACAGCAAAATTATTGCTCCAGAACCTGCAAAAAGGAGCTGATAAACTACCAGGCTGCTGTAAAGATCTTTATAAAGCTGCCTTTAATTACCCACCCATGGAAATCTGTCCATCTGCAGCCCCTGCTGAGCAGAACCCACAGCCTAGGAGGCATCAGGGCAAAGATGGCCCAATAAACAGCAAAATTATTGCTCCAGACTCTGCAAAAAGGAGCTGATAAACTGCCAGGCTGCTGTAAAGATCTTTATAAAGCTGCCATGAATTAATTACCCACCTATGGAAATCTGTCCATCTGCAGCCCTGCTGAGCAGAACCCACAGCCCAGGAGGCAATTTCCCCCTCTTCGTGTCCCAATCTTTGCCTCAGTTTCATTCCTCCTCCCTGTAAGCGCCTCACACTGAAGCTGGCTGGTTTTGTCTCCTCAGGAGGCCTCAGCAGTGAAGATGGCAGCCAGAGGATCCTCAGGAAAAACAGGTTTGGAAACGCCTCCCTTGGTAACTGAGCCTCCTTTCCTGTTGGGATCATCCCTGAGAGGTACCCAGAGAGCCAGAGCGCTGCTGTCCTTGCTCCGTGGGCCCTGCTGGGTCCCTTCCACACCACCCTGCCTGGCTTATCTGCCTCTTATCTGGGAATCTCTGCCCTGAGTGTGCCTCTCCTCCGCTCTGAACCTTTCCTTCCCCTTCTTTTTGTTCTCCAGCAGAGAAGAGGAGATCTCACCCTTATACAGAGAAACAGCTTAGACAGGTATGCAGAACACCCTGAACCCCTCTGTGCCAGGCTCCTGGGGCAGAATTCCTGTTCTATCACCCAGGGAGAACAGGACACTTCATGTCTGCCTCCCTCCCCTTCCCTCCTCCTCCTCCTCCTCCTGTTGCCGTTTCAGAGCAAGCAGAGCGCTGGGCAAAGCCCCAGAGGCTTGGAGGACCTCGACATCCTGGTGGAGGTGCTGCAGGAGGATCTGAACCAGAGCCAGCTCGGGGAGGAGCGCCGGCAGCCCGTGCCAGACGGGTTCTGGCAGGGATTCACCCGGGAGCTGCAGAGCTGCTGCTGGCAGGGCAGGGCGGCAGCGCAAGGGGGACCAGCAGAGCTTCACCCCCAGCCCTGGGGCAGAGAATTCCACCCCGTCCTGCGGGGACAGGCACAGCCTTCCCTCCATGGTCAGCAGGAGAGCACCCAGAGGTCCTGCTCACATGGGATGTTCTCCAGGACGGGCGAGGATGGGGGCAGCTGGTGGGTGCAGGATGGTCCCTTGGGCTCCCAGGAGGGTTTCATGAGGGATTCTCCATCCCAGGGATGTCTCCTGAGGGATTCTCCATCCCAGGGATGTCTCCTGAGGAATTCTGCACCCCAGGGATATTTCCTGAAGA